GCAACTTCCAAATGCAAGCACCCCATTGCCAGTAGCAAGGAGCATATGACATTGATGTTGAGAATTTAGAATCACATTTTGGCATTTGCTGGGAAGAGCCAAAAGTTATTTTAAAAATATAAATTTGTTAATATTGCTAAATCTGATTCAGAATTTTTTTATTTCTTCATTTATTTTGCTGTGTCTGCCCTAGAATATCTGTTTTCCTGTTCTCAGTATCACAGTCCTGCTCAGAATTTAACCTTTGTTACAGATTGGGTTAAGGCAGTAAGTAACCATCATTAAATAGCACGCATTGATGTTCTACTCAACTGCTTTTATATTTTTCCAGACTACGAAGTTCACAGCATGTAAGCTATTAGCAGGAAGACTGTTCTCAGCTAGCAGACTTTAGAAGTGGCAAATTGATAATTTTTTTATTTTTTTTAAATGAAAAACTGTTTCAATGCCAGGGGTTTTATTTGTTTCGGTTTACTTTTAGCGTGAAAAAATTATCTCTTTTGCTTATTCGTTCTGGGCAGTTTAAATCTGTTCATAATGGTAAAAATTAAGTATTTTTTACCATTTTATTTAAAGGGAGGTGAGGGGAATGCCTGTACATTCTGCCTGATGTGTATAGCAGCCCTACACAAGCTGGGAATATGTTTGTTAACCTCTTTGCTTAAGAAAATATGGCTGGGCCGCACTTACGTATTCATACAGCTTGCTTATGCAGCTACATTTCATCCTCAAGGTCAGGTTTGATTACTTGTCACACCTGAGACCTGATTTGGGGGAATTGCCTGACTTCTTTGACTTTGATTCTTTTTTGCAGTAATTGCATGCGTGTCTTAGTTGAATTGTTTCCTGGTTTTCCTTTTTTTGACAAATACAGAGCCTTCATCAGCTGCAGAAAAGCGAACATAAAAATTAGTAATTCAAAATTCAGCTGTCAGGACATTTTCAGAAATGTTTGTTTTAAATAGCCTCCTTACAAAGCTGGTATGAAAATAGAAGGTGATGCGTTTAAAAGTTTATGCTTAACTTTTAAATATCCCATATAGCAGTAGCCCTCACCAGCCTTGAAAAATCCGACATAAATCCTGCTTTGGAGAGGTTTTATTAGCCTGGTGACTAACTAGGAACAGGCTGTAGGTATACAAGGTGCTTTCCTGGGGAGATTGTATCAGTGTGTCTGCTGTCCTCTTTCCCTCCTCTGTGCACCTGGGAGGGCAGGTGACCTTCAGTAACCCACAGAGAGCCTGGCCTTTCAAGGACCTTCACCTGTGTATCTGACCTTGACTCTGAACAAATATCTATGGGCTTTTCAAGAGATAGAGCCATTGTTAGTTAGGAAACTACCTGAAACCTCAGGCAGCTTTGAACCTTGGATGTTCATGCAGGGGAAAATGTCTACAAAGCACGGACTATTGCAGCGCTTTTTTCTGTCTTCCTTCTAACCTTCTGTTTTCTAACCTTGTATGTAAAAACCTGGCTTCAAGTATTGCTAAAGAAATGTGTTCCTAGCTCTGGCAAGCCTGTCTGATGTTGGAGGAGGAGAAGCACCTTTGTGAAGGTAGTGGCTTGTTCTGGACCTGAGCAGTATGTGCGGGCAGTCGGAAGAGACTTCCCTGAGTGGATGTGGCAGGGGGGTATGGACGGGGCTGGCTTGGTGCCTCCTGCACGGCCAGAATTGATGCTGCTGCTGCTAGGAGCTGAGTGTAAGGAAGTAACCCATCCTTACGTGGGAGAGCTGAGAAGCAACAGAAACCGCATGCTCTCTTTGAATTCATTCTCTATTTAGTTAGAATTTCCATTCAGAATTGGCTTGCTTTTGCTTCTTTCCCCACCCTTCCTTTTCTCTTTTAACCCTTCCCTTCAGCTGTTCGGATATGATATTTTTTGTTATGAGACAAACTACTCTTCAGGTGGATACAAGTATTCAGTTTTTGAACACTGAGGCTTCTCTCCCATGTAGTTAGTAAGTATAGAAAAATATTTACAAAAAAAGTATAGAAGAATACATTTTCAAATTTTATCATATGTTGTCATTATTCTTATATCATTGAGAATGCACGTGTCAGTAAAGGATCTTGAGACCATGTCAGTTGGGCCAAATACACAGTGTTGTAGAGCATCTGTGCTTTGCCACAAGGCTTTAACTGAAGTTATTCCTCAGTTTTTTACTCCCACCCCTGCTCAAGATAAGCAAAACTCTGGGGTTTTAGTTCTGGAGTGGCAGCTGCACGATCTTTATAGATGTCTTGTCTATTACAAGTTGGAAGGAGTAAAACAACAAAGAGACTACGGATTTGGTGACTGCAGACGTCAAAGAGTAAATGAGAGATACAGGCTTCATGGATATAATATAATGCAGGTTTGGCTGATACAAGTTGAACTCTGAATTAATTACAAAAGGCTTATGAATATGAGTGTTTGTCTTTCCTGTGTGTGTAAAATAATAACTAGCTTCAAGGAAATACCATGACTGAAGACTAGTGAGCTAGTGAGAAAAGGGCATTTTGTGACCACCCTGCAGTGTTCCTGTCCAGGAATTAGGGCTGCGTTGTGCTTGCTGAACACAGGGAGTGCAAAGTCTTGGTCTCTCCCCACAATGCCCTTTGTAGGATTTGTAACAAAATTTAGTTTTTAGATTATTCTCTGTGGAACTTGATTTGGAGGTCCTTGGGAGCTACTTCTAAAGGGATCTGTAAAAATTAAGGAGACCAGGTTTATTAATAATAAACGTAAATACATTATGTAAAATAACTGCAAATAAAATATGCACTTATGAGAGTGTTCAGTTCATTTAGAAAAGGTTTAAGGAAACATGAATCAAAGAAAATAAACACTCATTTAGATCATGGACAGCAAAGAAATAAACAGAAATAAGAAGGGTGTGACAAAGCCGTTGCTGCACCACCAAGAGATGCAGGTAACGTGTGGCATCTGATTGCCAGGCTTATTCATAGTAAGCATTAATGCTTCTTTTTCATCATGGAGGTTTAGTTCAATGAAGATTTTAAAAGGTGGAAAACACGATTCCAGATTGGAGCTCTACCATTTGACTGAACAACAATTTCAAAAGCAGAATATCCAGATGCAGAATTTGAATTCTTAACATGACAGGATGATTTATGAGGCACTGTGAAATTATTTTTTCCTGTCTACTAAATGTATTTGCTTCTGCCTCTGTATAAGCTTGAAAGTCGTATCTGTTCCCATGCTGAACTATTTCGCCCTCCTCATCGCCCATGCTCTCTGGCTTGTGATTGACAGGTTGCACAGGAGTTCGTGCTTCTAGGAGTTAACAAAAAAAGCATTGATGATCTCAAGAGTCCATAGTCAATATCAGAGCACACATTTTCCAGCTTTTCCTATTACAGACGGGAGTTGAAGGGCTGAACTAGGTAATGAATTATCCACAGAAAACATTGTGACTAGGCAGGCTAACAATCAGCCATGGCATTAAAAAGCAGCTGCAGAGAATGGTTTCTCCTTTTTTTCTTTCTTGTTCCACACACCAATTCACGTTCTTCTTTCATGCCGTATATGATGTATACTGAGAAAGTGAAACGTAAAAATAGTCCTAGGAATTGTGCAGACCCTGAGCCCCCGAAGCAGGGAGCTTAACCAGCCTGCAATGTAGGGCTGGTGTAATTAACGATGATGGGAGTATTTTAGAAAAATGTGGAATGTCAAGGTGACATCATTGCCTAGCTCTATCTTAATTGTTTCAGATACATACCTTTAATGGCAATTGTAAACATGTATATATAGGAAGCCACATCTGCTTCCTCCATCTGAGTGATTTTCCCTGGGGTAACCTCTTGCAACACCTGGGTGATGTGTGAGGGATCCAGCTCTCCTTGTATTCGCTCTTCATGACCTCACACAAGGCACCATGGAAAGGTTGCCTTATTTTTGGAGCTGGAGATACCCGTTTTGGTTTAAGTCAGCCTTGTTAATAAAAGCAAGTCAAAAATACGGTTTCATTGGACATTTGGTTTTGGTACGCAGAGTGAGATAAATCAGTAGAGGAGGAAGGGAGGTTTCCTCAAAGGCTGGCAGTGGCTTCCCTGGAGCCATGATACCAAACCTCTTCCTAGTTCAACAAAATGCAGCTGACAATATTGTAATTATCAAATGTTTTTCAAAACTATACTGCTGGAACGTAACTTAAAGCTATTAAATAACCTTATAATCACCAGGCAACAAATACTTACGTTTCAGTGAAGGTGTAACTCCTACTAGTTGGTTGAAGCCATTATAATCAGTTTATAAATTAACTTCTTTGTGTCTATACCCTTCCATTTTTGCAGTGAAGTAAAATCCAAAACATTCAAATATGGTCTGTACTTCATTTTCAGTTGTTACACTAGTTTCTAGCATGAAAGAAGTGCACTTTATGAATTTTTTTTCCTGCTGTAAGCTCCAGTAACCTTAGAAATGATAGAAATGGTTGCCATTTGCAGTTTTTACCGTGTTTATTTTGCAAATCTCAAAGCTTGTAACCGCTGTGGTGCCGACGCCCCTGGCTATGGCAGGTTTCCCGTGTGCTGTGTACAGGTGCACGGTATTGCTAAAGCGTGCCTCATCTTTTGTGCCCAGAAGTTGCGAGGCTGGCTGCAGAACAAGCCGGAGGAGAAACATCTGCCTCGTCCCCAGGAGCGCCGGGGCAGCGCCGCGGGAGCCCTGCTGCCGCCTGCTCCCCTCGCGCCCGCGGCGCCCGGGCTCCCGCTGGCGTCTCCCGGCGTCACCCAGGTTGCAGATCTGCGCGCCGCGGCCAGGAACCTGCTTCTCCACCGATGGGCCACGGGCAGTGTTGGAAGAGCTAACGATTCGTGCATTTTTATGGACTTCTAAGCGCTATGACTTGCCAGGAACGCCAGCGCTTACTGTTCTTCATTAAAAATTGCTCCATACCACCCCTTTTTTTCTTTCAAACCATTCCTGGTGTTGCTTTTCTTCTGAATTTTGTCCCTTTCCTAATGACAATCTCCTTTGTTTTCTATTTGCAGGGTGGTTTACAGACGTACTGCTTCCTAGTGTTCGCTGCCATCTGCTTTGCGGGAGCTACCTACCTATTTTTCGTCCTGCCTGAAACAAAAAATAAGACATTTCATGAGATCAGCCAGGCATTTGCCAAAAGGAATAAAGTATCTTTAGAAATGCAAGAAATGAACCACTACCCAGGAGAGAGGAAATCGAGTGCAGAACAAGAATCAGACTTTACATCTTCGGTGAACAATGGGGAAACCAAAAAAGAGATTGTGTAAACCCACGATGCTGTTTCAGGGGATGGGGGAAAACATGCTCTTTCCATCCAGTACGTTTATGTCAGTGCACAACTTGTATTTTTTATGTGACAGCATGAACTGCTTCCCCCTTGAATATGTTTTAAGTGAGTATGGGTGAATATGGTAGCAGCTAGGGTGATGGTTGAGGAAATGAGAGACGAGAGTAGCAGCAGCTGATTAAATAAATAAGAGCCGGAGTTTTCTTGGGCACCTGTGAAGTCGGCGCTGCCGTGAGTGGTGTGGGATATGCAGACTCAGAGAAGTAAAGTGGCGGTGGGGAGCCGGGATTGTGAGCAGTGGCTGGATGAGCACCCCTGTGTGCTCACGGAGGGGTGTGCGTGCAGTCGCGGAGGAGGAGGAGGAGGAGGAGGCAGGGAAAAGGGAAGAAATCCCAGCAGGAGTCTGCTAAGAATCGATACAAGTGAACCTGAAGTGCTACCGGCTCACATTTCCCCACGTTTCCCAATATGTCATTTAAGTTGCACACGAGAGTCGTAGGATTTGAAAGAAGACTCATGGCACTCCCCTGGCCTCCCATACCTTTTCCAGCTATTTTGACTTTCAGTTGCTTTGTCTGAACACCTCCCACCTTCCCACAAACAGGGAGCCCTGGGTCCTGATGGATTTCCTTGTCTGTCTTGCAAATCCACATCAACTAGTATTAGAATTGCCCCTAGCCTCTTGAGGTTGCTGGCATAGCATCTCTGTGGATATATATATATATTTTTTTTTAAAAATTTTCTTTTTTAAGAACATCTATAGAAGCTTTAATATGAAAAGAAAACTAAACCTCATGGTGAAGTGAGAGAACTCTGATGGTACGTTGTAGGGTGTAGCATTAAAAGAAAAAATCAAACACCAGGTATGCCAAGGGCTGAGGTTTTTTGCTTGTTTTTTTTTTTTCTTTTCAAGTTCCTTTTAAAACAAGTCTCAGGAGCCAAAATTTCCCCGAGACCCAATAAATGTAATTTCTTAACGCTCAGATCTCTCCAAAGGAGTTTGGGTGCCTATTTCTTATTCAACACTAATTTCATTTGGGCATTAGATTCTGAAGCTCCAGGCCTAGTTCACAGTAACAGGTTTCTAAGTTATTTAATGCTTTGTAAAACTTTCCTCAGAGTCTGCTTAATTTTGTAATAGACTCAGCAGGCTCTTGGTGGTTAGGTGATCCATTCCCTTCCACATGGGATTTTTTTTTTTATGAACGTCTTTCCAGTTTGTAATTTTGATAATAGTTTTTCTTGATCATTCTAGGTACCTGGATGCTGAGGGGGGTAATAAGCACTTTTGAATTAAATAGTTAGCTGTTTTATATGAAAAATCAGTAAGTCTTAGAGCTGCTCTCAGTTAGGAGTAAGGCACAAGAAGGAAGTGCAGCATGTAGGTAGAGCCAGCTGCTTCCACAAGTTATATTTACTAATCCAGAAGTTCATATGTTTGGAGCATTTTGGAAAAAAAAAGTATATCTATTGATATATATATACACACACACATATATACATATATGAATAGATATATTACAAATACTGAAATATAACTATTTATATTCATATATATACACATACACAATGGAGAATTATTTTCCAATATTTGTTTTTTTCAGATTTCCCCAAGTGATAAGCTGTTTATTTTTTTGTTCTACACTGTAAATTAAAACCAGACATCCAAATGTGCAGCTATTACTTCTAAATTATGTATATGGTTTTATACTGTGATTTATTTATATGTGGCATATTTACTGCACACACTGTAAACTGACCTAATAGGGCAATTTCACTACTGAGTAATAGAGGAAAAATTAATCTGAGCCTTTATGCCAGAACTTACTCTCTTTTACTGAGATAGAGGTACAGCAGCAAGTAAGAAAATCAAAATATATATAAGCAAGGGAATTTAAGAATGAAAAAATCAGATTTATGATACTGGTGCTACTGTTAAGAAACAGAGTGATTCAGGATTATACCAGCTGATAATCATAGATAGATGCTAGTCAAATACAATGGAGAAAACTGAAAAAAAATGTTTTCTAATAATCACTTGTAAAATTATATATATAGGAAATGAACATGTCATCTTTCAGTGGCTTTAGTTGCCTATTCCATGTGTTACATGAGGCTTGCTAAGTGAATAGCTATGTAAAAAATGATTTTGAATGCCACCTCTCCAGACAATTTCAGGAAGAAATTCTTCCTCTTCCACCTGCAAGGCAAGATTGGCAAATTCATATCCTCTCATTCAAATTGAGAATTACCTTGCTTTTAGTTAAGGCTACTAACTCGGTATGATGTGGTCTGATTTGGGTCAAGGTGGCAAGATTGGAAACCATTATTATTATTACCGTTACTAGAATTAGGAGAATTTAGCACTTCATGCTGTTCACTGATGTGCATTACAGGCATTACTTATTGATAATTGTTGCCATTGGATAACTTCAATAAAATACCATGTTGGCCTCATAAGGCAACAAGATAAAATCATCTTACGGTTGCATTTGGAGCCCAGCTCTGGATGTGTTGGGAAAGAGATGGCTCGATAGAATTTCTGGTCACAGCTCAGAGGCTTGTACAGCATTACAACAGGGGGTTGTGTTTTTCTATTCTGCAACCCCGTTTGCCCATCTCTTGCCCTGCCAGATCTAGGCACACTCCAGAGAGGCACTTTCTGTGCGGCTGCAGAGCGCGCTGGTACAGACGAGCACGCTGTGGGACAGTGCTGGCACGTCTCACCAGCGGTTTGCTGCAGCCCATGGTACCAGTTAAAAGCAATTCCAGTCTCCAGACATGTATGTGTGCAGGTGCTTTGCTCACTGGCCAGGGAAGGTGGCTGCGGCCTCCTCTGCCATGGGCTGTGGAAGTTTCTGGGGAAACTTCAGATGTGCCAGTACTGCATTAACTTCCTCATCTTTGACCCTAACGAGAGTTTCGTGTTGTTCTTCAAGTTGTTCTGTAACGTTTTTTTCCGTTGTTATGCTGCTATAGCTTCTTCAGCAATGAGAAGACAAAATGGAAGATATTGGCAATTTATCATTTTGGTTTTCCTGTTGAATGTATCAAATTGTCTACAGCCCATGTGTTTGTCAGCGAGTGTTGCGTGGTGCCACAGCCTCTTTTCCCGAATGTCACGTTGGGATGAGGTTCTGCAAGATGGTGTTTGTACGAGCACTGCAAGTGGGTTACATGTGTGTGATCAGCTATGTCCGTGCACAGTGACTGCAAAATAAACCTTTGGAATTAAACCAAAATAATGTAGGTTTTGCTCTGGGTAAATCTGAATCTCTACAGCTGTACAAGTTTCATTGTACAATTCCCCGGGTTTCTGTATGTCCCAGTACAAGACTGTGCAGTCCTTCATCTGGATGACCCGAGTCATTGTGGACTCTACAGTTGAGTGGTTGGGAGTTATGGGGAAGAAAATAATTCCTGAATCTGTATATTTTTTTGAGCATTATTTACATTTTGCTTTTCACATCAGATTTCACACTTCATTCTTTCATATGTTTATACTGGGCTTTAGAAATAAAAATACAGACATTGATGAGAAGCAAATGATTAAAACTGGCTAGTAGTAGTAATAACTGTGTATAAGAATTGCCGAATCTAGTGAAGCTTTTTTTTCAGAAAGTTGTCATTTGCAATGGATGACTTTGAGTTGCTAAAGCTTTACTTTCTGATGAAAAATTCAGTCAACTTACTATTTCTGCTACAAAGATAAGAAAAACTTGAGATCTGAAATATGTATAAAAAAATGAATTTCATACTTCAGGTTTTGAAGCCAGTTTTCACTCCACAAGGATCTGCTTTCTAGTGGGGGAAGATGTGAGTAGTTCAGCCATATGGGACAATTTTCATCTTCAGAGTAAAATGAAAAAAAAAAAAAAAACAACCCCACACCAAAACCAACTCTTTGAAATTTGCTTTCTTCCCTTTGACTATGTGCTTTTCCATACAGAAATCACCATATAAACTATTAGAGCTCCCATCACCTCACACAGCAGGAAGAGCAAATCTGAGTAAAGCATTCTTGGGAAGTGCCTGCAGTCTTTTACTTTCAGCTTGAATCCAAAAATGAGAGTTCAGATACAGTCTAAAAACCTGAACTATATAGACCCAAACTATGAAGCAGGTTTGTTAATGCAAATATTCCAGCTGTTAAGTATTGACCCAACCCTGTTTTTTTTTAATTCTTTCTGCAAATTATTTTATTTGGGAGTGAGCCCTGTGAAAAGGCGAATTCCATGGCAAAAGCTTGGGACTTGGACTCCTAATCAAGTTATCACAGCTCAGTAAGCAGTCATGCATAACCTGAGTCACTACAACCCTCTTTCTTGCAAGCTAAGTTGCACTGACCTTGATTTTTCCATGTTCTAAGAGAAACACAGGCAGTGAATAGTCGAGCTCTTTCTGGAGATGTGCCTGCTAAAGCTGCGCTACAGTCAAATTCTTTTAAACCTAGGATTTCAGTTTTTAAAAAGCACAGAAGAAAAGCTTTCAGGAGGCTTTTATCCAGTGATTAGTGAAGTCAACAGAACTCTCCCGTGGCTTCAACTATACAAATGTACCCAAGAAAGTCATGGCATACATAGAGTTCTAAGCTTAGGAAACCCTGCACATTTTATCTTCTTTAGACAGTAAACCAATGGTTTGCTTTCTCAGTCGGGGAAAACGGTGTAATTATTCAGATCCTGCACAGTGACCTGATGCTTTTCTTTTGAGTTCGGGCATGGGGGGTTGGTTGGTTGATTGGTGTTTTATTGTTTTTTTTTATTTAAGTGGGAGCACTAGTAGTCTGGCTCATATGCTAAAGAAGAGTACAAAGCATGATGCTGGTGGAGTTGCTTGTTGTCTTAAGATAATTGCCAAAAGGTAATGCAAAACAGAACTCTCTCAGGCCCCTGAAACACAATACATTAAGAGAATGAAGGGGTAGGAGATAAATTGTCTGCTGCTTTGTAAGCTGTCACGCAGGGACATTGATTTTTGTTTCATTTTCTCTTGTTTCTCTCAATTAAAAAAATCAAGCTAAATGAAATTATCTCTTTACATTTGTACTACCTCTTATTTATGACTTGTTCTGTCTAATTATATAAATATTTTTACAGTTCAGATTTTAAAACAGGACAACAGTAGTTACTTAGGAAAAGCAAACATGCCAAAGATTATAAAAATGGTAAGTACAATTTTCTTTAGAGGATGACACTTTCAAAGATGAGTTCAAGAGTTAATCACTTAAATCTAAATTTCATATGGCTCCACCCCTTTGAATTAAACTCTACAGACTATATATATGCATACATACGTATAGAGAGACATGTTATCCCATGGAAAAAGTTCAGCAGCTTTTATTATCATTCAAAAAAGAAATGGGGCCCTTTGGATATTTTGCCATGTTGTGAAGTAGGCTCTGATGGTGCTCAGATACTTGCATTAACAAACAGATAAAGTTTGCATGAGCTTAGGTTTGGAAAAGTTGTCTAGTAAGGCTGTCTCCTTTTTGGCCAGTCTTAGATTTTTCTTTTTGCATTTTTTCTGAACTGCTAGGTGGAGACTACTATGCTAATATATATATATAAAATATATATACTATATATAGTATAATATTAATATAATTAATATATATATACTTGCATAGAAATATGTATAAGTACATATATAATTTACTTAGATACATATATAAAATATATATTACATATACAACTATGTACATATACAAACACATCTCTCCCTACTTGGATCCCACTCCCAGTGATTTCAGTCAGATCAGAAGACTATGAGTTCCTTACCCATTTGCAATTACTCTGGAAAGAATACAGTGCAGCAGCAATGTCAGGATAGATCTTCTCTCTGTAGCACCTTGGTTCTAGCAACAGAAAAATAATGAAAAAAAAAAAAAAAAAAGGAAGGCATGGCCTTCCCACGGTGACAGAAAACAAAGACAAAAATGTGGTCCCCTTTTACATATATAAAACTTATTTATATGCATATGTGTGTATGTGTATTAGAATACATATGAAAAAAATGTAACATTTTGATACACAGATGTTATTACAATATATCATTTACTTTCTTCAAAGGAAAAGGGATGGAGTTTTTCTAAATTCCGTGGAACTATATTTTGTTAAACAAATGTAAGATAAATAGCTAATATGAGAAAAGATGTATTGCTTTAACACAACACTACAATAAACCAAGGTTAGACAATTTATATTCTGTCACTGACTGGCTGAAGCCTTATCTTCCTAATCGATACACTCACTGAGCTGGGATAGATGATCATCTGGGTAACTACCAGTCAACAAGAGATTTTCACATGCTTATTGCACAGCACAGGAATCACCTTGATGCAAAGCTGGGGGAAAACCCTTCTCAGGGTAGCTCCAGTTCTGGACACTGATGCTAAAATAATTGTCAACATATAGTAAGAGAACCAACTTCCTTTTGTCAGATAGGCTTCAAGAGGAATTTATGAATAGAAGAGTTATCTTTAATGGTCACTTTTGTGTTTTCTTTTGAGGCATCA